TTTCACGTACAAACAAAACAATCCATTTTCAAACAAAAACAAACACCAAACAGACAAAACGAAACTTCTCAAAAAAATTAAAGAAAACAAAGTAAAATAATTTTGCGGAAAATATGGCCAGGTATTATTTATAAGACGCGGAAAATGCGCGAAATGTACGGCCATTTATTTTTCCCTCTCTAACGTCGTTTTTCCAAATTTTGTTTTTCGTTTTTTATGTTTTTTTTTGGTGTGAAAAATTAGACAACAAAATGTTTTTAAACAATTTTAATGTGAAATATTAATATTATTACATACATACATTTGTATATACAAACAAACACATACACACATACATTCATACATACATACAAAAATATCATAAAATCAAAAAAATGAAATAAATTAAGCAATTAATTAATGTCATTATATCTCAACACCCTTCCTTCATATATATTATTGTTATACAAAATAAAAATGGAAAAAATTGTTTGAACTACTTTTCTTTCGTTTTTAGTTTTTTACACACTGGCGCAAGTTCGTCGCTTGAGTCATCATCTTCTTCGACTTCTTGAAAAATTGGTTTAGGTTGCGTTTTTTGATATGCCGGTGTAATCCAGAAAGGATGTTCGGCTGCCTCTTTAGCATGCCTTAAAATGGCAGATCTTGGATCTATATCTCTTTCATCTGGTTTTCGGAGGGCTAAGTTCTTAATGATATATTGTGACAACGTGGCTCCGTGAGCTCTAACTTTTCCATCTTCGCCTGGTCCATTAACAGGTAGATCAGGTCTTCTAGACCTCGCCGGGTCTTTTCGGTCTTTTTCAGCCGCTTTTTTGGATGTTGTTGGTCATGATATCCTGAACAAAGGCTATGAATGAGGAGTTATAATGTATGGGTTAAGACAGACATCCCATCTGATTTGTATGTTTTGGACTTTTTTTCTAAACACAGTTTGGCTCCGCGATGGCTTTTGTCGCCATAAAGTACGTTAACGTTACCACTAGCGGTGGAGCAGAATATTTGATTAAGACGAGAATGCCACAAACACCTGATAACACTAGAATCAGACACTGAAAATTCACTAAATTTCTGACCGGTATTTTTGTTATAAAACACCAACTTTCCTCCAGTACCATTAACAGTAGAACCTCCCTTTTCGGCAGACACTCCTGTTACAATCAAGTTGTCATTAGGGCTAAAACAACAATCAGTCAGTGGAAATAAATTATAAAGGGATGTTACTTCGAACAGAGCTTTTTTGAAATGTCTTAAATCCCAAAGTTTCAAAGTGTCATCGGTACTTCTAGATGCCAAAAAATTGTTGTCGTTGCTAAAAGAAATAGAGAATATGTCATTGCCACAGCCATGCGCAGTCATGTTTTTTAAAATGACTTTAACATATAGCTTTCCATGTTCCCACATTTGAATGGAACCATCTTGACAAGCAGCTGCAACCAACTTGCCATCTCTGCTGTATGAACAAGTAGTGGTGACAACTTTTTTGCCTTGTAAAGATAAAGGTTTGATGACGGTTTTCTGTTTTCTCAAGTAACTGACATCCCAAAAACGCAGCGTTCCATCATCAGAGCAGGTCATGAACTCGTCTTTCATTCATGGGTTCCAACAGCCTGCATTGAGCGTAGCCGTATGTCCTTTGGTGTTACTCTGATAAATTATGTACTGATCACCCTTAATGCATTCCATTATCTTGTGACCATCTCTATCTAAAACTTTAGCTCGAGCACTTCCTGATACCACAAGCACCATATCGCCATTGCTACTGAACTTGAGATCTCTGATTATATGACCTTCACATGGATTTATGGTTCTAAAAGGTCTCGGTGATGAATCCATGCCAGCAAAATCCCAAAATTTGATGGAGTAATCATAACTTCCAGTAACCAACATTGCACCTGATGCATCCACATACAATGATGATATAGGCTTCTTTCCGTGATTTATTACCAATTTATTATCTAATGGTAAACGATTTTCCTTTTCTTCTTTATCATCCTCATCTTCATCATCCTCATCATTAACATTGGACTTTTCTGAAGTTGTGATTTTAATGGGTAGGCTGGCAGGCACTGGTGGTCCGATGATGTATTCGTCGTCTTCCTTTGTTTTAGTTTCTAATTTGTTTCCATCCCTTAAATATGATGAAACATTTGTTCTATTGTTAGAGCAATCAAATTCCCTCACAAAACAGTCGTCTATATTATCCATTCCATCTTCAGTTTTCATTTCTTCTCTGCTTTCTAGACCCATTTCAATAGCAGTCATCCTAGCTTTGTCGAACATTTCCATGAAATCAAAATTGCGAGGAATCTTTTCTGGGAATTTCTTTTAATACCCTCCATTTAAATTTAAAATTAAACAAAAAATCAATTTACGTAATTAGAATTAATTAACTGAAAACATCCGACAGCAAACGTATTACAATGCTTCACTCTTTTGGAATGAAGTAGTCACAGGTAATGGAATGCGTTGGACGGGCTTTACTTTATATACTCTAGCTTTCACAGTTTTACAAGATGGCAAAGATAGTACTATAACTATCTTTAAGAAAGTGAATTTTATTACCGTCATCGTCAAAGTTAATTTTCTTCATTCTTGTTAACAAAGTTAATTCTGTTAACAAAGATAGCGGATATTCAAGACAATAATAATTAATTGAAATTAATTATACAGCGCAATTCGACCAATTCAGCGGGAATTATAAAAATAATGATTGTAATAATAATAATAATAATAATTTTAACAACAATAACAACAACAATAATAATAATAATAATAACAAAACATTTTTTCAATTTATAACAGATCAATTTAGCTCTCAAAAAATACCATCATCATCATCAACAGCAGCAGCAACAGCAGCAGCAACAGCAGCAGCAACAGCAGCAGCAACAGCAGCAGCAACAGCAGCAGTCGTAGTAGAAGCGACGTCATCGATATCATCTGCAAATGAAACATCTCTTTCACCGTCATTAGCAAACTCGTCATCATCATCATCAGCATCGTCAGCATCATCAGTATCATCACCATCATCAGTATCATCACCATCATCATCGTCGTCGTCATCCCTTTATGATCATAGCAACCGAGCGAGCTTAATGATGTCAAGTAACAATTCATCATCGTCATCCTTCTGGCCACTGCTACTATCAACGCTATCGTTGTCTTTATCATTACCGTCAACGTCATCAACAACGACATCATCATTATCAACATCATCATCATCGTCGTCGTCGTCTTCATCTTCATCATTATCGAAAATAAGAAGCTTAGATGTAATGAGACAGCTACTAACCAAGGGGACAAACGAGATGTTTTTGACATCATCATCACCGTTGTTATCATCATCATCGTCATCGATAACAATGTGGTTATCATCATCCACAAGAAGTTTGTCATCTCCTTCATCATCATTATCATCATCATCTACTTCA